AACGCTATTAATATTCAGATCACTGCTGTAAAGCAGTTTCTGTTGATCAGGAATGTAAGGTATTAAAGGCACATACATTAGCATATATTTGCATCTATAATATGTATTGTAAAAGCAAACTTCATTTTGAATTATCAAAAATCCCAGCATTTCAGTAACTTTGATAAATGAGAAAACATGACAAATGAATAGAGATGAATAAATGTAAGATTTTTTTTTTTGATGGAGCTAAAAAGTCAAGATCAAGAGAGGATCAGTGGCTTCCATGTAATTGTGTTTCAGTAATTTTCCTCTTATAATTTATATGATAGAGAGAAGCTGTAACTTAGTATATTCTGTTAACTGCTCAACAAATGTCTTCTGAATTAAAAGCAAGTAGGAAAAGATGGATTAGAAAAGTCTATTTATATTGAAATTGGTAGTATAGGCTGATGTAAATAACTGTGGCCAATTTGGTAAAGGTGGTTTCAAAGTTTGTCTTTCTGGGATTAGAGAGATGGCTCAGCTTTTGAGTGAACAAAGTTCCCAGCACCCACATTGGGTAGCTTACAACCCCTTATAATTCTATCCAACTCTAGGGAATCAATCTCCCATCCTTTTCTGAACTCCACAGGTCCTGCACCCACATGCACACACCCTCACTGACAAACACACACACACATAATTTTTTTAAAAAGAAGTTTGTCTTCCTGTCCTTTGGTGTGATCTTTAGCAAAGAAGCTTGCCATTGGGAAAATATGTGGCTTATCCAGCTATTGAAGTAATGGTAGCAGGAATTTGTCATCATTCAGAAATATGAATAGTACTCTTTATTCTTAATAATTTATTTTGTATCGCCAAAATGTGATGGGTAAAATAATGTAGAGGTGCTTGATTTATATTTTTTAAAAAATCTTCATATACTAGAACATTTCTTTCACACTTTACACTTTTTAATATAAATTTTAAGCATTGCTGGGATGCAGCTCAGTTGGCAGAATCCCTACCCACCATGAAAGCAACCCTGAGTCTCACCATCTCATAGACTGTTGTGGCACATGCCTATGATGCTAAATTCTCAAGGTAGAAGCAGGAGGATGTAGTTCAGAGACATCCTTGGCTACATAATAAGTTCAAAGATAGCCTGGTCTACATATCTTAAACAGACAAGGACAAAAACTTTTAGGCAACTACCTTTTTTTTGTTATATGTGGGGCATTTACCCAACCACCCCCACAGTTCCCCAGAGTTTTCTTGAGTGCGAGCAGCAGGAAATATTAGATAGAAGGATTTATTGGGGAGAATATCGCGGAGATAAACAGATAGAAAATAAAGGATAGCCTCGAGAGGGCCTGGAACCTATTCCAACGGGCCCCGACTGTCTCTGCCCCAGGGTTTTTATAGAGACGCCAAGGGGTGGAGCAAAAGACCTCCTCCCCCAGCACAGCCAAGTGCAGACCATCTCAGACACCTGCACTCAGGCCCGTGGTCTAATCATCCTCTATGCGGACCTGCTGGGTAAAGCCACGAGGAACCTGAGAACGGGCTCCCACAGTTATAGAACTTTTTTTTTATGAATTTTTTAATTCATTTTACATACCAACCACAGATCCCCCTCTCTTCCCTCTTTCCACTCTTCCCCAGCCTCCCACCAAGTTGATATCCTGATTTTCCTTATTGTTGTTACACACACATACGCATATATGCACATGTATGTATGTATGCATGTTTATGAACAAGTATATGCATATATAACTTGCTGAGTTAGTAATGGCTGTTTGTGTGTATGTTTTCAAAACAGACCACTCTGCACTGAGCAACTAATAAGGGGGCTCATCCCTCAAAGTGACTAATTCTCCTCTTCCCAGCAAGTTGCTAGTTGCCCATAGTTCTTTGTCTTGGGGTGGTTTATGTTGACATGTCCATTGGTGTTGCCATTGTTCTGATCTTGTTCATGTAGAAATTTCTCAGAGAGACTGTTTCACAGCAGACTTCTTGGTATTCTAACTCTTAAAATAGTTTCTCTCCTGTGATTTTCCCTGAGCCATTGATGCAGGAGCTGTGATGTAGATGCACCCGTTGGTGCTGGGTTCTCCACGATCTGTTGATCTCTGCATTATGTCCAGTTGTGGTTCTCCATGTTGGTCTCCATTTTCTGTAAAGAGAAGCTTCTTTGATGAGAGGTGGCAGCTACACCTATCTGTGGGTGTAAGGACAAGACTTAGAATTCAGTAAGGAATTATGTTAGTCTAACAAAATGGCGACAGTAAATTCTTTTCTAAGTCCATGACCTTACTAGCCCTGGAAAGCTGGCTAGGTTTCCAGTATCAGGCATGATTTTCCTCCTGTTGAGTGGGCCTTAAGCCCAGCTGGACAGCTGTTGGTTGCCACCGAGATGTGAGTGCCGCTTATTGCACCTTTATGGATGCTGGTGATCGCTATGGTTCAGACTTGTTGCAGCTGTGCAGAACTGTTTAATTGCTTCTCTCCCTGGGCAGCTCCCATAGTATTTTTGGAACCATGGAAACTAGACCTCAGGAAAGAGGCTTCCAGGTCAGATCCAGCTTGAATCATCTGAGTCCTGTGTCCTAAGTGTCAGTTTTTTTTTTTTTTTTTAAGCAATTGAGGTCTACAACTCCTGAGAGGCAACCAACGGCTACATCAATTGTCTATATTGTTTTTGGAGTCACTTGTACTGCCTGGTACTAGGATATTTAAAATCCGTTCTAGTGTTTCAATCACACACACACATACACTGATTGGGTTTGAGTAAGTTAACTATGCTCTTTTAAGGATCATGATCTGCATTTAATAATGAAAGAAAATTAGACAAAAATATTTACTAGAGCTCACTATATAGAGAGAGGCCCCATCATATCTACATGAGACATGCAAAGGTGCAAAGGGACCATTTGTACTTCTCAGCAGGACTACAGGAAGGTAGGAAACAATTCCATGATGAGGGCATCTTTGCCACTGAGAAACTACCTGACGTAGTGCAAAGGGTTTGAGACTCTAATGGAGCTGTCCAACATTTCAACAAGTTACTGAATGTCTGAGTTTCAGCTTTCCCCATTACAATGGAACCAATAAAGCAACTCATGAGGATGAATTGGCAGAGTGCATCTGTTTAAACAGTGGTTCTCAGTCTTGGCTGTGTGTTTGAATCACAAAAGGAACTTTAAGAAACTCTGACCCAGGCTGAGTTTTAGACCCATTTTATTAGGACATTTGGGGCTGAGATTGACACTCCAGTTTCTTTAAAGCTCCATTCATATAGTCTGTAAAACCTTGATTGTAATGCCTAGAGTGCAATGCAAAAATATTGTGTGGCAGGCATTGGACACATGTCTAGTTATCTTGGATAAACACCACCAACATATGTGGTTCTCCTTTCTTAGGCTGCTTACCATGTGAAGAAGATATGTTTGCTTTGTATTTGTCATCCTGTCAAATAATGGATTAGTATATGACTGTTGTAAAAAGAAAACATTGCTTAGTGGTGTGGAAAGTACTGACTTGAGCACTTAGGAGCTAAGATATCAATGACATTACTTAAATGATGCAATTGGCTTATGCTAACGTAGTGCGAGAAATCCACAGAGCCTATTTAATGAGCAAAGGAATTTATTTGGGGGTTAACTCACTACCATGGGAGATTTATCATAGGGTCTGGGAAAGCTGAGCTATGTCTCATGCTGATTTGCCTAGTCCAAGATCTTAGCATCCAATACCACGAGGAGGTGAAGAGAGAGCCATGTAAGTGCGTCATTAAGAGTCTTAAGGGTCCCAAGCATCCATGTCCCAGGAGCATGTACTTCAGGGTCATAGGCAGGTGTAACAGTTACCTGTTACCTCACTAGGGGTGGTGCTTCAAGGTCATAGCTAGAACAGATACCCACTACATCTCCCCTTTTTGTCTAAATAAGAAAGTTCTAACCTATTGAAAAATTATGTACAATAGGAATGATTATTAAGTGTTGTCAAGGAGAAATAAAGGGTAACGACCTAAACAAAACAGAACTACAACCGACAAGAACAACATCAAACAAGAGACACATACTAAAATTCAGAGAAGTCCAGAACATAGGTAAATGGCATATTACAGAGATTATTCCAAAAGCTGTCCTAGCCTGAAGAATCTGAATCTAGTACTTAATATGTTCTAGCTAAGATACAAGAAGATTGTAACTGTAACTATTAGTCTTCAACCCAATCAAAGACCTGAGAAGAAATATAATAATACCTGAGAAGATGGGAAATGCACACAAGCAACTTTTGGGAATCTTGCGAGAGTAGACAGAGACAGCTGGCAGTCTGGACAATCACCTAAAGTTTTCCAGCACCATTGGGCATCCAATTTGGCTACAGGCCTAGAGCATCTGAGAGACCATTTTCAGAAGCAGGAATTTTGAAAGACCATCTTACCATGTTTTGACAGAGTTCAGTAGTTGCTTTTCCTTGTGTCCCGCTCATCCAGAAAGGACAGCATTCATACTGTCAGCAGTCGAGGCAAGGGCAGTTCTTTGTCCAGCAGGCCATTATGCACCAAGAAGAAGACAAACTTCCAAATGAAGTGTGTAGAAGCCCAACATTCTCTTGGGATCAGATCAGTGCTGCCAGGAGTGATCACATCTCACATCAACAGAATTGTAAGTTATTTAAATGCCATATTCTCTAGGTCTATGAAGTGTTTGACGATTACCTATCCATCTGACCTATGTATCTGTAAATCTGGACAACCTAACTAACATAACTATAGAAATGACAAGCATGAATGACTATAAATCTGTAAGTCTTAGATCTACCTAAATAACCTAAGGACTAAGGCTTCATGTAAACAAGGTAAACAGTCTGTAAACAAATGTACAGTAAAAGGACAATGACCTCAAAATTGCGACAATACACAAAATGTCTTAAATAGAGGTAGAACATACATACAGTATGACAAATGTAATTTTACATTTGTATCAATATATAAGATATTTCAAATAGGAGTAGAAATATATGTACAGAGCTGTGGAATTTGTGATTTGGGTGAAGATAGAAGTCATGGCTGGTCCAGAAAGTGATGGCCAATTCCAGTTCACTGGTATTAAAAAGTATTTCAGCTCTTACACTCTCACAGGTAGAATGAATTGTGTACTGGCCACAAGCGGAGGCATTGCTTTGTTGGTCTTATACTTCAAGTTAAGGCCTAAAAAAACCCCAGCTGTGGAAGCAACATAAATGGATTTTGAAATGTCTGACCTCATCTGTGAAGTCCCAAGCCTGAAGAAGCTGATGTCAACTCATCATGTAATACTCAATTTGTACAATAAATTATGAACCTGGAAAAAAGAAATATATGTACAATATAACAAATATAGTTTTGTATTTGTATCAATATACAAATTATCTTTAATAGGAATATAAAATAGTTTACATTTGTATCAACATACAAGAATCCATATCAGTGCAATTATCTAGGGCTGATATTTTACTAAATTAGTTTACTAGTATATACAATAATCTACCTTAATAACCTATACCTATCAATTTCCCTTCTTATTATCTTAAGGAGAATACTGAGTCTAATTTTTATTGTTCCACCCCCAATCTTATAACCATTATTTGTAACCCAGAGAAAATGAAACCTTTGGGAGAGGGGCATCATTTTCTTAGAATTGCTTCCTGCTGTTCAAGGGGTGATGGTATCTCTGTTGGGTCCTGTAAGAAAGCTTAGATAGTTAGGTCTCAATAGGGCTAGCTGTAGATTCTATAGCCAGTCTTAGAGTAATGGGTAAGGTTGTCTGAGATTCTGGCTAGAAGTGTAGTATGATGGACCATCTCATCTTGGAACTGTCCTGGAGAGGTTTTAGTCCAAAGTTGATCATTGAGTAATGTTCATGGGTACCATGGCATCATTATGGACTGGGTGGAGTCATTGTTGTGGGGAGCCCCATCTTCCTTCTAGAGAATTCAGAGACTGCTATGGGAAAGGCTTATTTTTTATTATTTTATTGTGGAAAAACTTGAACATTTTTAATATCAAAATGGAAAGTTTGAATTTACTTTGGATAGAGAAAGGATTCTCTGAAAGCAAGGACAAGCATGGAAAGAAATAGAATCTTGATGATAATGGTCCCTAGATTAGTGGTTTTCTTCTATTCCACAGCAGGTGGCTCTTCTGATATGAGACAGAATTCCAATTCCCAAGCCAGCTTGAATCAGGACCACAACTTTCCTAGAGTTAAAGAGATACAGATGTTTGGCAGTGAGATATTACTCTGTGTATATTGGTACCAATAGGCTCTTTCCTTCTGCTGTAGACATCTGGTTATTCAAGGCCTTATGATTTCTGGAAGATGGGTATTTCTATTATCCTATAAAGACAAAAACAGAACCCTGCCTGACCCTTGTTTGTTGAGTTTTTCTTACAATTTGTATAGTTGTCACATTGGTAGATGAGCTATTACTTCTCCTCATCAGGGGGTTTCTCCTGTTCAAATCAAATCTTTGTTAATTTTATTGGTATCCATAGCTTTTCTTCTCCTGCAGAAACAAAAGCAAAACTCCTCCCCCAATGTAGGACGTGTCTTGGTTTCCATTATGCAGTCAACACAGCTTTCTTTGAAGTAAACCGGTTAGTTTAGCTCATGAAGTTTTTCCCTGTGTCCAGTGTCTCTCCTCAGCTCTTGTTCCTTTCTCATTAGCACTGAGAAAATTCAAGGTTAATAAAGTATTATCTAATCTATTTATAGGGGTCATTGTTACCTCTTTTTGTTTATTCAGCTTATACTTTAAAGTTCAATTTGTTCTTTCTATGACTGCTTGTTCTGTGGGATTGTGTGTTATACCTCTAATATGCTTTATATTGTAATACACAAAAAACTATCTCATTTTATTTGAGATGTATGCTGGAGCATTGTCAGTCTTAATTTGTACAGGTATTCCCATGAGAACCATAACTTCTAATAGGTGTGTAATCACACAATCAGCTTTTACAGAACTCATAGGAGTTGCCCATTTAAATCCTGAATAGATGTCAATGGTATGGTGTACATATTTTTAATCTTCCAAATTCTGCAAAATGAAACACATCCATCTGCCAAATTTAATTTCTCTGTATACCTTTTGGATTGCTTCCTTGCAGGTAATGGAGTTTGGTTATAGAAGGAACAAGTAGGACTTTTTTTTTTTCAATTTCCTTGGCTTGTTGCCAAGGGATGGGGAAATCCTTCTTCAAAATCTTGCTATTTACATGTTGTTTCTTATGAAATTCTGAGGCTTCCAGCACATTACCTATTAATAACTGATCAATCTCATCATTACCTTGTGCTAGAGGACCTAGCAGACTCATATGGAATCTGATGTGATATATATATATATATATATATATATATATAATGATGTTCCCTATTTCTGATTATTTCCTGTAATTGTATAAATAGTGAAGTTAATTCTAGTTAATTCTGTATTATCAGGAATAAATTCAGCAGTTTCAATATGTAAAACAACTCTGTATATTGAGAGTCAGTGACTGTATTGAGGGGCTCCTTGAAGTCCATTAGTACTGTAATAATGGCATTCAGTTCTGCCTTTTGTACAGAATTATAATGACTTTGAACCACTTTACTTAAATCTTCTGATTTATATCCTGCCTTTCCTGATTTATTTGCATCAGTATAGAATGTGGGGACTCCAGAGACTGGCTTTTGCCATACAATGTGAGGAAGGACCTATTCAGTTCTTTTTATGAATTCTATTCTCTTACTTTTGGGATAACAATTGTTAATCTGAGATTTGGTTCCAATCCCTAGAAGTTGGACATCTACCTCTTGAAGAGGCCATTCAGATGCCATGCAATTGGTGTAATTTTGGTGTAATTACAGTTACATCCATACCTGTGTCTACCAGGCCCTCTAGAACAATGCCATTAATTCATACTCTAAGCTTTGGTCTTTGTTCATTTATGGAAGTCTGCCAAGATATTCATTTTATGGTGTTTTTTGGAGTTTTTCATCTATCAGAGCTGTTCTATCATCTAGTGCAGTATTATTCTTTACATTAGACACTGGGTTATTTAATAGTCCTGGAGAGAAATTTCCTCCACAGTTCCTGGAAATATTTGAACCACATTTGATTTGGGGGGCCTGCAAGAGGCTCCCCAAGGCATTTCTTTCTAGTAAAGGGTTGCCTCATATTTCTATTGTTGATGTGCATTCACTGGTCCATTGTTGGTCTTTGCCACATTTTCTGCATAATCCAGAAGTTTGAAGTCTCCTGTTTGGTTTATTTCTACAAGAAATGTAGCTTCTAGGAGCACCCTGTGTACAATTTCTTCTCGTATGACCTGGTGTACCACAGTTAAAACATTTGGTAACTCAAGGCCTCCTTCCATTTCTGGAAATTGTCTTTCCTGTCCAAGCCTTATTACCATAGTTAAGAGATTAAACACTGTTTGTATATTGAATCTATTTCTCCAACAGGGCTGACATGACCTTTAAAGGTGTAAGTATTCTTTTACATTCTGTATTAGCATTGTTAAAAGCCAAGGATTGAGTTAATACTTGTCTTAGTCCTTGGTCTGATACTGTCTTGTTTATAACCATGGTCAGCCTTTGTACAAAATCAGTAAATGGTGCTTGTGGTCCTTGGAAAATCTTTATATATAGCTCAGTTAGATTCCCTGGTTCTGGAATATTTTCCAAAGCAGTTAAAGCTGCTGTATGGAATAGGGATATTGTATGCTCATCAAAAGTAGCTTGCAAAATAGCCCTCCCCAAGAATTTGATCTTGGGAGATCTCAAAACCTCTGATCTTACCCTGCTGTTTTAAGATCATTGCTTCCTTTCTCAACCAGCTTTTCCATTGTAACTGCCGGCTATATTCTAGAACAACTGAGATTCACTGATTCCGGTCATCTGGTGTGATTCCATTTGTAGAAGACCACGTATTTAACATCTGTTTTACATATGTTGAGTGTATACCAAGGTGATCACTGCTTCCTTAATGTTTTTTTTAAATCTCTCATACAAATAGATTGCAAGATATATTCCACATATGGCTCAGGGTGTTTATCATCTGTTGACTTTTCACGGATGGTGACAGGATAAGCCATTGTATAAGAGCTACCTGGCAATGTTATTACTTGTATGGCCTTGCCCTTCTGCTGATTAATTTCTTTGTTATCTTTACTGAGAGATTCCTCCAGAGCTTGAAATCCAGTAACTACTGCCTGTTGTAATGTTTGCACCTCCTCTGTTGTAAAGGGTTCTAAAGATTTCATGGAATCATAAAATTTTTTATGTTCTTCTGAAGCATATGATTCCATAGACTTTATTTTATCAATTAGCAATGATCTTTCCTCATTATGAATTATCTGGATAGCATTGACCTTGCTCTGAAGAGATACTGTTTTATCCATTAAGTATTCATATTTATTATCAATAGAATTAAATCTGGTTATACAGTTATTATTAATGGGCTGACGTTCTTGTGGTAAGTTAGCAGATTACATAGAAAGAATCCATTTATTTAAGTCTTCAATCAGTCCCATTAATGTCCCATTTTTGCTGTTATTATTGAGCCAGTTCTTTAATGATATGATGTGAATGACTATGCTAATTGTCATTGTAGTGAGCATTATATATGTCCCAGGAAGATTGTATATGTCTTATAAAATTTCATTCATAATACAAACAAAAAGATTTTTAAATTCCTGAGAAGTAACTTTTTCTGCCATTTTTTAGAAATTTTCAAAATTTGTAAAGAAAAATTTTATTAATTTGTTTACTTATTAATCAGTTTTAAGGTGTGAAATTATTGAGTAATTTTACCTTAGATGAAATCCTTAAGAACTGGTATCTCAGTTCTTGTGATGATTTTTTTGGGTGTAGCAGCAATGTTCAGCCAGCAGGTTTCACAGGTGTAGCTCTAAAGCTACAAGGTCCTGAAGCATGTTCTGAAGACCTTGACCTGTATTGGGCCTAAAGAGCTACCGAGCAAATCCTACTGGCATGTGCAACCACAACTGGCTATGCATGTATGATATGGGGGATGCATCTGTGGGCTGGACTCAGCCGAACCAGGAGGGCTTCTGCGATGTGGTGGCACAACTAGGGTTGTTTAGGGCCAGTGTTGAGCCAATGCCCTTGGTGCCCTCCCTGCTCATTGTCTCCAGTGTCTTAGCACTTCAGTGTACTCTCCTGCCTCCGTGCACTGCTGGTATGTCTTTCTTTACATGAGGGTGTTTAAGGCACTCCTGGAGGCCTTGGGATTTGGGGTTCTTTGCCA